TGTGTTACATATTTGTTTTTCGTTCATTTTTTTGTACATAAATTAGGCCGTTAGTTTTCTCGTTTGAATTTGTTTACATTTGTCATTTCGGGGCCTTTTATAGCTGACCATGCCGTATGGGCTTTGCTCATTGTTGAAGGCCGAACGGTGATCTATAGTTGTTAACTTTTGTGTCATTTTGTCTCAATTTTCAAATTGGCATCATTTTCGATTAAATAGTCTTAAAAGTAAATCAGTCAACTAACAAACTTGACCGATAAGTAAAAATATATCTGAACTAGAGGCTCTCAAGAGCCTGTGTCGCTCACCTGTATTTACTGATGCTTTGGAAATCATGTAAAATAAGGTTAAAATCATAATTAATAGTATTAGATATTAGATATTATAATGATATCTAAGATAATAACAAAAAACTGCAAAATTTTTGTAAAATTACTAACTCAGGGGCAGCAACCCAACAACGGGTCGTCGGATTTGTCTGAAAATTTCAGGGCAGATAAATCTAAATCTGATAAACATTTTTGCCACCTGTCAGATTTGCTCTAAATGCTTTAGTTTCAGAGATATAAGCCAAAATCTACATTTTACCCCTATGTTCTATTTTTAGCCATGGCGGCCATCTTGGTTGGTTGGCGGGGTCATCGGACACATTTTTTAAACGAGATACCCTGATGATGATTGTGGCCAAGTTTGGTTAAATTTGGCCCAGTGGTTTCAGAGGAGAAGATTTTTGTAAAAAGCTGACGACGACGGACGACGACGACGACGCCGCCGACGACGACGACGACGGACGACGGACGACGGACGCCAAGTGATGAGAAAAGCTCACTTGACCCTTCGGGTCAGGTGAGCTAAAAACTGACCATACCTCTAAAACTGAATAATATAAAAATTAGGTCAAGGTCAAATTAACAATTACAAGTCAGACATTGACACCTTGGATTTTCATTTTTCAAATTTATGCATAAATCATGCCGTTGATTTTCTCGTTTTGAAAAGTCTGTGAGATGTAGACTTTTGCTCCGCGTTGAAGGTCGTATGGTGTCATGTAGTTGCTAGCAAAATAGACATTTGGTCTCTTGTAGAGAGTTTTCTCAATGGCAATCTTAACAATTATTCTTTATCTTTTATATTTAGAATTGAGCGTCACTGGTGAGTCATTTGTGGGGAAAACGCGAGTTCGTAGAATACAGTTGTAAGTCTGTATTGTATCTTTTATAAATGTTTTTATTATCTGAGAAATAGACTTACCACAAAATTTTGACCAATGAACTATGAAACTGAGCTCAAGGTCAGATTGACACTTCTTGTCGGATATGTCAATTTAATCTAGCCTATATCTTATAGGAGAAACCAACCTAAATGAGAATTCAAGATTGATCGAAGAACGATTGAAGTAAGGATCTGACATCTGCATATTACATGCAGTCATCCAATACAACCAACATTGTCCACCACTGTATTTAGTACCTGAGAGATGAACCTCGAAACTTATTAAGAAAAAAAGCAAACCATAAAAGTTTAAGTAAATTTCAGACGAACCATTCGCGGCTAGCATGTATTTCACATGAAAAATTAGAAATGACCAATGAAACATGAAAATGACGTCAGAGTTAGATGAACTCCGTTCAATATTCGAGTAGAAATAACAAGCATTGCATACGCTAATTGCAGTTGACCCATTGCTGAAAAAGTATCAGACAAAAAAAACGAACCATGAAAACATAACATTGACCAATGAATCACGGTCCGTTGAAACCTACCGGTCGGACATGTACACCATACAATCAGCCTATACACGAACGAAATCACGAAAATGAAATCAATCACAATGGAAAATGATGTTATTTAAACATATATAAGGCATTTGTATACAAAATCTGAATCATTCATATCTTCTCTCCAAATGATTTAAAATTAAATTGTTGTCTGACATATAAAGTTCAGAAAAAGACAAACTGATGGACAGCAACATTGCTTATTAAATCAGTTGCTGGACCATGATCTGTTGTGCAAGGTCTGAAAATGGTCGACAAACTGAGATTTGTAGACATTAATGTAACTCTATAGAAAATATCTTTGTTTATTGTAAGTAGTTCCTATCAATCTAACTTAAGCAGATAACTAAACATTAAAAATTGCGAATTAATTCAAAATCACCGTACCATGACCTAAGGGGCTTCAAAATAGTCGCCAAACTGATATGTACTGATAGTAATGTAACTTTATACAAAATACCAACACTTAACATTAGAATGTTCTCCCATTTATTTGTATTGTAGTCCTGTCATGTAATGTTGTCATTTTAATGTTATATTTAACATTGCCATAAAAGCGGGAGGTTTTGCTAGCCACAAAACCAGGTTCAACCCACCATTTTTTTCTAAAAAAATGTCCTGTACCAAGTCAGGAAAATGGCAATTGTTATCATGTAGTTTGTTTCTGTGAGTGCTGCATTGTCGTTTTTTTTTATTTGTGTATTTCTCTGTCCTGCATGTTCTTCCATTTATTTGTATTGTAGTCCTGTCATGTAATGTTGTCATTATGGTGTTATATCTAACATTGCCATAAAAGCGGGAGGTTTGGCTAGCCACAAAACCAGGTTCAATCCAACATTTTTTTCTTAAAATGTCCTGTACCAAGTCATGAAAATGGCCATTGTTATATTATAGTTCGTTTCTGTGTGTGTTACATTTTAATGTTGTGTTTCTGTTGTGTCGTAGTTCTCCTCTTATATTTGATGTGTTTCCCTCAGTTTTAGTTTGTAACCAGGATTTGTTTTTTTCTAAATCGATTTATGAATTTCGAACAGCGGTATACTACTGTTGCCTTTATTTATCAATTGAAAGTGGCTGGACCATGGCTTTAGATGCAAGGCCTCAAAATAGTCGTCAAACTGATATGTATTGATAGTAATGAAACTTTGTATCAAATAACTATAATCTATCACAAGTAGTTCCTATCAAACTAACCTAAGCAGAAAACGTAACAATTGTCGTCGCCGGAAAAGCAATCCCTTAGTCTAGCTTTCCGCTACTTTCGACGCAGGCGAGACAAAAAAATACAACATAAGATAGTGACGCCGGATTTGAATCCTTATGTTTCGCATAATGTGGCTTTCTTTCTCAGGCGAAACTTCTTTCAAATATAAAGAACGAGGAATTGCAATGTTCATTACAACGATCATCTAAAAATGTATGATGAATTATTTTTAACCGAAGCGTACGGTTAATTAAAGCATGCTTGGCTTTACCAGCGGTAAAGTGAGAACATATAATTGATCAGATTAGTATATAAAACAGATACTCCATGTGCCACTCATTTATAGAGAGAAATAAGGTTTGTATTTAATTTCAAAGATGTCATGGAGTTTCGAAGTTCAAATAGAACCTGCAAAAAATATGCACGTTTTGAAATGGACATAAAGCAGAATCATCGGACGAACAGAAAATCGGCCAAAGAGCAACGGACTAAAAGCAAAACGGACAAAAAGCAAAAGTGTCACACCAAAAGCAAAATAATCGGTCAAAAAGCAAAACGGACCGAAAGCAACGGACAAAAAGCAAAAGTGTCGGACGAAAAGCAAAAGTATCGGACAAAAAGCAAAAGTGTCGGACGAAAAGCAAAAGTATCGGACAAAAAGCAAAACGGACCGAAAGCAACGGACTAAAGCAAAAATGTCGGCCTAAAAGCTAAATTATCGGACAAAAAGCAAAACCGGACAAAAAGCAAATCGCGGACCGAAAGCACCGTATCACACTTCAATCCAATGTATATTTCCTACATATTAAATAGGATTCCATTAAGATAATTGTATTTAAAATTGATGCATAATGTATATGTAGCCCCTTGTGAATATGAAATTAAGTACTTTTGAGATTTCAATACATATAAATAGTGTGTATTCATCAATTATGTTTGATATATATTATGAATGTACTACATGCTCATTGTGATATACAGATATTGAATGTTAATGAAAAAACTGGGGGTGATCTCCAATGCTTCGGAAGTGCTAGCAGATCCTACTCCACAGTTGGCACCCGTCGTGTTGCTCATGTTAGTACAAACCCGGTGATAAGTCAATATAGACTTTATTGATATGCATCTTCAAGATTCAAAAGAGTTTGCACCTATCTATAATCAGTTGTTTTGTGACTATTTACCCATAATCAAAAATATGCATTATATCTTTTAGCTCTATACAATTATTTGTGTATAAATAGGTATAAAACTATGAAGATGTGTAATATTGCTAATGAGAAACCTCTCCACAAGAGACCAAATGAAGTTGAAGTTAGCAACTATAGGTCATCGTGCGTACAAAACCCATTACGCATAGCAAGCTTTAAACGGACAAGATAGGATAAATGTAAAACAGTTCAAACGAGAAAACACTAAATTTAATGTCTGATTGTGTAGAAAAGAATAAACGAAAACCAAATTAAATAAACAGCAACAAACGACAACCAATGAATTACAGACTGTTGACTTGGGACAGGCACATACATAATGTGGTGGGGTAAAATATGTTAGCAGACGCCCATCCTCTTCCTGATCTGTAACAGTGGTGCAACAGCACAATTTTTTGTTTACAAATTGTAAGATCCAACTGAAGAGGGCTTGACTCGCAGATAGACATAACGCACACAAAATACAACAACAAAAAGACTTAAGACTCAACGTATCGATCTTAGAGAACTCGCAATTACTAAAAGAAAGTTCACAGCCATAATAACTAATAAAAAATCATGTGTCAGAAATTACAGTATCAATCAATATACATATAGCATACAAAACAAATATTTCTTGTACAGCTGCATTAAACTTTAAAATCACCATAGAAACGAGTGTATACAATCCAAAAATACCAACTTTGTCGATCTATTATACCGAGCTTCATTTCAGCAGAATATCCGATTTACTACATTGATCTCAAATACATGATCTCAACCTACATATTTACAAACTGTCATAAGAACTAACTGTTGCATACTTACGTCGTCGTTGTTCGTTGTTTGATTTGTTCTTGTAGATTTCTTTTTCTCCTTGTCTACAAATAAAAAAAAAATAATTGTGTTAAAGTTGTATCAATAAACTCATCATACACACCAGGATTAAAATATTGTACTCGAGATGCGCGTTTCGTCTATATAAGACTCATCAGTGACGCTCGATTCAAAACAGTTAAAAAGGCCAAATAAAGTACGACGTTTGAAGAATATTGAGGACCCAAAATTCAGAAAGGTTTTGCCAAATACAGCTAAGGTAATCTATTTCTGGGGTAGAAATCATTTGTATTTCGAAAATATAATAAGTCTTCATTCTTAAGTTAGCTATCACATGGTCAAGACATAGGTACATGTAACCCTAATTATACATCAAGATCATAAATATTCATACAATATCAGTCAGGAAAAATATAAAACTGTACAGTAAATATAATACTGTTTAAACTTTGACTAGACCAGTATTTGAGTTCAATATTTGCATCATACTAAAACATCGCTAAATAGAAAACAGTGGAAAGACGAACAATTTTTATTAATATTATCATTCTCTAAGAAAATCATTTTTAAATTTGTTTTATTCGTACGTGAACCGTTACTAGCTGATACGTGTTTTAAATATAATTTCTTTAATTTATAAAGGCTATATATATCAAAGCATTTTCCAAATTGCAATAAGCACGCTTTTTGGTGTGATATTCCTTTGTCGTTTCAGTAGTAAATTCATTTGAGTCTGCATCTTCGCTAGCCAAGGGTTATGATCCAGTCACTTACTCTACACCTTTGATACAATTTATGTATACAGCGTTGCGCCATCTAATGACAGATAAAAGTTACTCCCACTCCTACTTCTTGACCAAGACCCTCATGGGTAGTCAAGGTCGTTAAAAACCACCCTCGTCGTCTTCTTGACTAATGGCAGCGCTTGAACTCTCACCATTTTGGAGGTGTAAAAATGATTATGTCATGTGTTTACAAATTTCGTGAAGCAGGAACGGCTAATCTGATTTTTACAGATTGCTCTTATGTTGTACTGTTACACCACTGTCCCGGGTTAGGGGAGGGCTGAGCGCTCACAAACATGTCTTACTCGGCCACATTCTTTATGTGCCTGTCCCAAGTCAGGAGCATGTAGTTCAGTGGATGTCGTTGGTTCATGTCTGTCATATTTGTTATTCGTAAATTGCTTTTTTATAAATTAAGCCGTTTGTTTTCTCAATTGAATTATTTCATATTTTTCATGTCGGGGCATTTTATAGCCGACCATAGGGTATGGGTTTTTTCATTGTTAAAGGCCGCACAGTTGCCTATAATTGCTTAAATCCACTTCATTTGAACTTTGGTGGATAGTTGTCTCATTGGCAATCATACCATATCTCCTTATTTTTATAATATACGTTGACATTCAAACATTGCCACGAGAAATTTACCCATTAATTCAATTATATTGACTAAGAGTTTTAAAAGTGTCACTAAATATCGTCCTATATATTGGGGGTAAAGACTCCTTGCACAATCTGTGTAATGACATTTTCTACATTTACACGTGATCATTTTAGAGGCGCTTTTTGATTGGATGCAGCACGTTGTAACTGCAACCAATGAAAATCATTACCTCGTGGATCCGACATTCCAACTCCATCTGCCAAGATTAAGGAGTAGGGGACCGGATTGTAAGCCTTTGCTAGCAAAGATGTTGAGTCTGTAATGATCATGTTAATCCTAACTCCATCTGAAAAGTCCTGTCCTCAAATGGCCGTCTTTGGAAGTTTTTTCATTTAATTTTCAAATATTTTCTTGTGCTAAATTTAGCTCTGTTCAGACAAATGGCGTGCACCAAATTCAGTACTGTTCAGTAGATTTTAGACTATTCAGCACGCTATTATTACATATATACAAATAAATAACAACTAATAAACAGTATGAATGAGGCTGAACAGATAGCGAATTGTCTGAATAGTATTGAATTTACCGTAGTGGATAATTCTCATAGATTCATCATTGACTGAAAAACTGGACATGACTTGATCATTTATTGTTATGTTTTTAGCTCACTGATCCCGAAGGGCCCCATGTGAGCTTATGCCATCACTTGGCGTCCTTCGTCGTCCGTCGTCTGTCGTCGTCGTCGTCGTCGTAAACTATTTCAAGAATCTTCTCTGAAACTACTGGGCCAAATACCTTCAAACTTTAACTGAATGTTCCTTAGGGTATCTAGTTTATATATTGTATCCGAACTTTTGATCCATCAACAAACATGGCCGCCATGGATAAAAATAGAACATAGGGGTCAGACGCAGATTTGGCTTATATCTCAAAAAACTAAAGCATTAATTTAGAGCAAATCTGACGGGGATAAAAATGTTCAATAGGTCAAGATCTATCAGCCCTGGAATTTCCAGACGAACCGAACAACCCATTGTTCGGTTGCTGCCACTAAATTGGTAATTTTAAGGAAATTTTGCAGTTTTTGGTTATTATCTTGAATATTATTGAAGATAAAGATAAACTGTAAACAGCAAAAATGTTCAGCAAAGTAAGATCTACAAAACAGTTATATGACCAAAATTGTCAATTGATCCCTTAAGGAGTTATTTCCCTCTAAAGACAATTTAACACAATTTGTTCATCATGTTTGCTTACATTTAAAAATCTTCTCCTCTGAAACTACTGGGCCTTATACTTCTAAACTTTAACAGAATGTTCCTTAGGGTAACTGGTTTATACATTGTATCCGAAGTTTTGATCCAATAACAAACATGGCCGCAATGGCTAAAAATAGAACATAGGGGTCAAATGCAGTTTTTGGCTTTTATCTCAAAAACTAAAGCAGTTAGAGCAAAAGTGACACGGAGTTAAAGTGATGAATAAGTCAAGATCTATCTGCTATGAAATTTTTGGCAATAAATTGTTGGCAATAAATGTTCAGCTAAGTAAGATCTACAAATAAGTCAACATGATCAAAATAGTCAATTGACCACTTGAGGAGTTATTGCCCTTAAAACGTTTCTTTTTACATTTTTTGTGAAAGTCTAATTACTTTTTCAAAAATCTTCTTCTCTGAAACTACTTGGCCAAATACTTAAAAACTTTACTTGAATGTTACTTAGGGTATCTAGTTTATAGATTGTATTCGAGGATTTGATCCATTCAAAAACATGGCGGCAGTTTCTAAAAATACGACATAGGGGTCAAATGAAGTGTTTGGCTTTCATCTCAAAAACTAAAGCAGTAAGAGCAAAACTGACATAGGTGAAAGTGTTAAACAGGTTTAGATCTACCTGTCAAGTAATCTTCAGACCAATAGGACAACTTATTGTTGGATTACTGTCCAGAAATAGATAATTTTTAGGAAATGTTACAGTTTTGGGTTATGTATTATCTTTAATATTATTATAGAAAGAGAGAAAGTGTAAATGACAAAATTGTTCAGCAAAATAAGATCTACAAATAAGTCAAATGCCTGAAACTGAAATTACAGGTGAGCGATATCAGGCTCTCATGAGCCTCTTGTTTTAATAACCGATATGATCAAAATGTATGTCTACCTCCCAACTCAATTGATATACCCAATTATGTAGTGGTGTACCAGATTCCAAAGTACTTTAAATTCATATTTTTGCATTGCACAAGGTTATGCTTTTAAAGACTGCTAATGACGCTTTTACACAAATTCCGTTGGAAGTGCCAATCCAAATAATTTAGTCTTGGAAAACATAGCATAGTTATTAAGTAAACCTCGGCTTTGAGTCATTTGGAATATTCATACATCACTTTTTTAAATATTTTTTTTTCGTATCATTAGTTCCATTTTATGTGATTAGTACATATCTGATAAGTCAATGCCATCTAAAATTATTTTTATTGTGTGTTTTAATTTTTGCCGTAACACCACTGCCTAAAAACAGGGGATGTATGCGCGATCACAATAATCTCTGACCCTACCAAAAAGTGTCCATCTCGGGTCATTAGTTTTCTCTTTTAAAAGGTTTTACATTTTGTTATATTGTGCCTGTTATAGCTTACTACAAATGTATACCTTTTGGATTACTAATTGCTAATTGCTAAAGGCTGAACAGTATCCTTGATTTATTTTTTATCAAATGTTCTCAAAATCAAGCTTTTCTTCTTAAATAAAACTTACATTTTCTGTAAACATGTTTGATAAGCAACAAAAGTGGAACTATTACACCCGCTGGAATAAATAGCCATTCAAGTTCGACTTGATCAAAACTGCTTTCTACAATTAAAAAGGAATACTATCTGTTGATTTTGTACAATCCCAATGCTAGATAACATATTTCTATATGTAAGTAATGTAAGACGCGTATCACGTGCGACTAAACGAGAGAAAGTTCAAATCACAAATAAATAATGTATGACGAAACTAAAAAAAAATTACTCGAAATATTGTCCCTTTAAAAGTCAAATTACTCAAATCAAATGTCCCAACAACAAAACTAAAAGTGGAATGTGTTTTTGGACAAACTTCAAAACTGAACCATCAATTTAATCTTCACCCATATTTGAGGGATGAGTAGTGTAATTTTCAGACAGTTTGTGTTCGACTGACGGATGTTATATTATCTTTTGGAAATCATTATACATAATGCTATGTTATTGTTATTCTATCATATAATTACATATTTTAAAATGTGCGTGTTCACAGCAAAATAAGTTACACTCACTGTGACTGACATCATTACTCTTCAGCGATAGTGTTACGTCGGCCGAAAATGTCGCATTATTATAGAGGAGCTCGTATGTCATACTAATATCTCTTTTGGACAGATTTTTTACTGTCAAACTGATACCATCATCTTCTACCTTTTCTTGAAACTTTTTGCTAATTTGCAGTTCTTTTTTGTTTGTTGCATTGTTTACTGGATAACGCAACCACACATGTTGACTTTCATTTCTGTTTACTGGAAATGCTGATATATTAGCAAATATTCTCAGGTCTTCTTGTAATGATTTGGGCTCAGCAAACTTTAAACTATAAGTCGCTGGTAAAATAAATATCATTAGCTTTAGACATATACTACTTCAAAAAATCAACAAAACATGTTATATGACAATAGTCAATATCAATTACTGGGCCTATAAAAGAGAGGCAAAATATACCAAAGGGATATTCTAATATATATCTCGAAAACAAAATGATAATGCCATGGCATAAAACGAAAAGCGAAGAAAAGACAAACAACATTTCACAAAACACAACATAGTAAAACTAACTTCACGAAAACTGGGGATGATCTTCGGTGCTCCGGAATATTGTTCATGGAAATATTCACCATGTTATAATTTTCATTCGGAAGGTCACATTCGAGGAAAAGAGGACGAGATTGTGGAAACGACAATGGGAATATATCCGCTGTCATCTGTAAAACAGGTAATCCATAACGGTCAACCAACTCGTGATGGCGTTCGTAAACTTTTCTAAGTGATGATTTTAACTTCACCACTAAGAACACTTTGTTCAATAGCTTCCTTGTAAGCAGCAACCCTCTATGACGTAAATTATAATGGGGAAACGAAAGCTCTGAAATATTGAATCAAGTTTGAGATATATACTCCATATGCAGGCGCTGCTGGAATGTTGAAATGAATGGAAAGTTCACAATTGAGAAGCTTAAATCATCTCTTTCATATTAAAGTTTTGTTCTAAACCGACCATCATTGTCAATTTACCTATAGATGTAAATCAAATAATTAGGCATCTTTAATTTTGCGTGATGTTATTTACCGAGCCCGAAAATTTAGATATGATGTGGGTAAACCTGTCAATTCTTTAAATACACAACTTCTAAAACTACCAATTCACCACTGTAATTAGATCCTTGAATATTGTTTTTATCGGTATAAGTATTGATTTTGTTATCAATAAATTAATACCAAACTAAATATCATTGTTTAACACATTTTATCATTCACGGTCCAACAACCTGTTGACACCTATATTTTTGGCATTGCACAAGGTCATGTTTTTCTCTGACTGACGTCTTTACACTAAGTGTTTGTGTTTCGTATATTGTTTTGACAATGTTATAAATTAAGCCGTCAGTTTTCTCAATTGAATTGTTTCCCATTTTTCATGTCGGGGCCTTTTATTTTTTATTTAGTTTGTTTTATGTTGTACTGTTATACCACTGTACCAGGTTAAATGGAGGGTTTTGCACCAGGAAACATATTTAACCCCGCAAAATTATGTGTGTGTCTTCCCTTAATAAGCCTGTAATTCTGAGGTTGCCGTTTGTTGCTGTATAACATATTTGTTTTTCGTTTATTGTTTTGTACATAAAGCTGGCCGTTAGTTTTCTCGTTTGAATTGCTTTATACATTTGTCATTTCGATGTCTTTATTTTTATAGCTTACTATGGAGTATGGATTGTGCTCATTATTGGAGGCCTTACGGTGACTATAGTTGTTAACTTCTTCGTCATTTGGTATCGGGTTGAGAGTTGTCTTATTTTTATATCAAGTGTATCTGTTTTAATTACTAGTAGTACTTTATTTGGCCTTTTAAACTTTTTTTATTCGAGCGTCACTGATGAGTCATTTGTTGACAAAACGCGCGTCTGTCGTATAAACTTATAATCCTTATATCTACAATGAGTATATTTATAATTGTATCCTCTTTTTCAAGTTCGATGAGATAAATGCGTTCAACATAGTCACCAAACTTCAATTAAATAAAGGATCAATTCGACAAGAAGAGGAGCACAGTCGGTTCCAATGAGACTGCCAACTGTTTGTTGAACACACGTTAGAAATAAGTTGTCTATCAACGTGTAATACCACCATTGATTTTCCCCTATTAGTCTTTGTTAAATTTGCACTTTTCAAAAAATTGTGCAGAATTTATCTTTGTTTCAAATAAAGAAATACTTGGCATGAGTAAAGTTTTATCCTGTCCAGTACTATAGAAAAAAATTCCCATAACATTTCATTGCATATAAGAAAATAACCATCACTGGAAGTTAACCAATCAAATTTTCCCCCTTTCTTAACCTGTGTACAAGCTTTAGTAACCATGTAACCTCAAGTTTCCAAAATATTCTATAGAAACCCCAAATAAAAAAATAATGGTGCTTTGAAATACCCAAGATATATGTTTATGACCCAGAAATGTTTTACTGCAATGAAATGTAGGATCAATTACCTACAACTGTCAAATTCAAGGGAATATTTTTTTTCGACCTATTTTCGTATGCAACCGGATGTGACGTACTATGATTTGGTGGTATTACACCTAAAGAAGACTTTTTTGTTAAATAAACTGAATGTGACTTTTTTCCTTTGTAATACTGGTTATTTCAAGCATTCCTGTCAAGTTTTGTCATAATCAGTTCAATAGTTTGAGAAAAATCTAGTATAATGTAAGACGACATCTACAGCGATTCGAGCAAAATTTCTTCGAAAAATCCAAACCAAGCCGCATCATGATAGAATATAGTGTGGACCAATAAATGATCAAATATTTATCTCATCTGCCTACAAACAGTTGAATATGATACAAAAGATGACTTTAGGATGATAAATACTACTAATGGACCTCTTTGTCTTCCTTATAAGGTCTCTTTTGGTCCATTTATACCTCTAATTTCCTCAAAATTTCTACTTTTTAGGCCAATAAATAAAAATTTTGGGGTAACTTTCACTCATTTATGATAGAAATGTTATAATAAATGATTAATTGAAGTATTCAAGCTGAATGAACTATCCGTATAAAAGTTTACTGTCTCCAAGGAGGTTTCAATTAGTCCTTACGTAAAACTTAAATTTACGCCGCGTTCCAGAGAGGGACATAAAAAGCTTCACTTTTGGTGAATAATTTGTTGTTACTGCTTTTAAAATAATTTCATTTACTTAAAACTATATATTTATTAAAGTATTTCTTAGGAAAAATTTTCTGGTATAGCAGAATATAAGAAATAAGGAGAAAAAACTCCCCAATACTCTAAGTATGGCTTGTTCTGTGAACTAATATTCATGGTAAAGTCCTATTTCAAGGAAATTTTCTCATAAAATGTGTTTTGGAGACTCAATCCACTCAGAATATTTCATTATTTGTAATATTTCACTTAAATAGCAAGAAATTTTAACACATGAGAGTACTCACAAGGTCAAAGGTGCATGTACAGCTTCCCATATTAGGTGTAATACCACCATTGATTTTCCCCTATTAGTCTTTGTTAAATTTGCACTTTTCAAAAAATTGTGCAGAATTTATCTTTGTTTCAAATAAAGAAATACTTGGCATGAGTAAAGTTTTATCCTGTCCAGTACTATAGAAAAAAATTCACATAACATTTCATTGCATATAAGAAAATAACCATCACTGGAAGTTAACCAATCAAATTTTCCCCCTTTCTTAACCTGTGTACAAGCTTTAGTAACCATGTAACCTCAAGTTTCCAAAATATTCTATAGAAACCCCAAATAAAAAAATAATGGTGCTTTGAAATACCCAAGATATATGTTTATGACCCAGAAATGTTTTACTGCAATGAAATGTAGGATCAATTACCTACAACTGTCAAATTCAAGGGAATATTTTTTTTCGACCTATTTTCGTATGCAACCGGATGTGACGTACTATGATTTGGTGGTATTACACCTAAAGAAGACTTTTTTGTTAAATAAACTGAATGTGACTTTTTTCCTTTGTAATACTGGTTATTTCAAGCATTCCTGTCAAGTTTTGTCATAATCAGTTCAATAGTTTGAGAAAAATCTAGTATAATGTAAGACGACATCTACAGCGATTCGAGCAAAATTTCTTCGAAAAATCCAAACCAAGCCGCATCATGATAGAATATAGTGTGGACCAATAAATGATCAAATATTTATCTCATCTGCCTACAAACAGTTGAATATGATACAAAAGATGACTTTAGGATGATAAATACTACTAATGGACCTCTTTGTCTTCCTTATAAGGTCTCTTTTGGTCCATTTATACCTCTAATTTCCTCAAAATTTCTACTTTTTAGGCCAATAAATAAAAATTTTGGGGTAACTTTCACTCATTTATGATAGAAATGTTATAATAAATGATTAATTGAAGTATTCAAGCTGAATGAACTATCCGTATAAAAGTTTACTGTCTCCAAGGAGGTTTCAATTAGTCCTTACGTAAAACTTAAATTTACGCCGCGTTCCAGAGAGGGACATAAAAAGCTTCTCTTTTGGTGAATAATTTGTTGTTACTGCTTTTAAAATAATTTCATTTACTTAAAACTATATATTTATTAAAGTATTTCTTAGGAAAAATTTTCTGGTATAGCAGAATATAAGAAATAAGGAGAAAAAACTCCCCAATACTCTAAGTATGGCTTGTTCTGTGAACTAATATTCATGGTAAAGTCCTATTTCAAGGAAATTTTCTCATAAAATGTGTTTTGGAGACTCAATCCACTCAGAATATTTCATTATTTGTAATATTTCACTTAAATAGCAAGAAATTTTAACACATGAGAGTACTCACAAGGTCAAAGGTGCATGTACAGCTTCCCATATTAGGTGTAATACCACCATTGATTTTCCCCTATTAGTCTTTGTTAAATTTGCACTTTTCAAAAAATTGTGCAGAATTTATCTTTGTTTCAAATAAAGAAATACTTGGCATGAGTAAAGTTTTATCCTGTCCAGTACTATAGAAAAAAATTCACATAACATTTCATTGCATATAAGAAAATAACCATCACTGGAAGTTAACCAATCAAATTTTCCCCCTTTCTTAACCTGTGTACAAGCTTTAGTAACCATGTAACCTCAAGTTTCCAAAATATTCTATAGAAACCCCAAATAAAAAAATAATGGTGCTTTGAAATACCCAAGATATATGTTTATGACCCAGAAATGTTTTACTGCAATGAAATGTAGGATCAATTACCTACAACTGTCAAATTCAAGGGAATATTTTTTTTCGACCTATTTTCGTATGCAACCGGATGTGACGTACTATGATTTGGTGGTATTACACCTAAAGAAGACTTTT